AGGGAAGCCTCATAGGAGCATGAAAATGTCTGGATGGGAAATAGAATGATAACAGAGAGATCAACTATAAGGTTATTGCAATAGTCCAGGTAAGAAATGAAGAGAATAACTTAAGATTGTGGCAAAGGCAATGGAAGAATAAAGCCAGACTCAAGAGGCTTGGAGACCAGATAGACATGCAAGGAAAAAGTTATCAGTAAAGAATATTCCCAAGGTTTTAAATTCGAAGGCTAGGTAAATAATAAAAACGTTAACAAAGATTAAGAGCACACATAGATGTCAAAACAAGTTGGAAGAGAATACAGTTTGCTCAGTATCAGAAATGAGTTTCAGAAACGAGTTGGATATAAGAAAGATCAATAAGAAATTGATTCTTCAGCTTTTAAAAGAAAAGCAAAAAGCTTGGAGGTAAAATATAACAGTCGTAGAACTTATTTAGTGAGTAGACTTTGAAGAGGACAGGTTAAAAATCTTTTTAAAAGTTGTAAGAGAAAACGTAAGTTTCATTAGGCACTTGAAAAGATTTCTCATAAAACATGAAATAAATGGGCCCTTCTCTTCATTATTGAGAGCTGCCTGGCAGAGTTGCAGGTATACTCATTCTATATTTTTTCTACTGGTTTAAAATTGAGTTGATTTGTTACCATAAACCCTCCACCACTGAATATAGAGAAATAGAAGCTAAAAAAAGAAAAAAGAAAGAAAAGAAAAACAAACACACAAAAAAACACACACCATAAAGCAAAATTTTGGTTTAAACTCATTGTACTAGTTTTCTGTTGCTGCTGTAACAAATTACCATACACCTAGTGGATTAATACTGCACAAATTTATTTTCTTACCGTTCTGTGGGTTGGACGTTTTTGTGGGCTCCAATCAAGGTATTGGCAGGGCTGTGGTGTTTTCTGGAAGTTCTGAAGGCGAGAATATAACGGCTTGAGCTCCTCTTACTTTCTATCACTCTGACGTCTGACTCACATTTCCACTTTTAAGGATGCTTGTGATTACATTATGCACACCTGCTTCATTTAGTTGTTTCTCTCTAAGGTCATATGATTAGTAACCTTAATTCATCTGCAACTTTAATTCCTCTTTGCCATGTAATGTAACATTTCCACCTGTTCTGTGAATTTGGGGACATGGAGATCTTTTAGGGACCATTATTCTGTCTTTCACATTGACAGATTTAGCTCAATGAAATCATCTTGTCATTCTGATTAGATAAATATTGTCTATATTAATACTCAGACTTTAATTTTGCTTTCACATAATGTTCCAAATGTAAGTGGAATTGAGGCCCTGTGGTTTATAAGACTCTTTCGATCCCAGCTGAAACAACTAAATTGCCCCTGCTTTCAGCCATAGATCTGTGCTTATCTGCCCTTGATTGGACATCCTTGAGGTACAATTAGTCCCATTTGGCTTAAGGGGAGCTATACTATTGTTATCAGTGGAAGTGGAGTGCTTGTGATATTGGGATGGAAAGATTTTCCTGAAATGCACACGGGATGGTTAGTAATATTAATTTAGGTGGAAATAAACTCCTAGATTTCCTATATCTCATTTCTGTCCATCCTGCCAACCTTGTCTTCAGCAGGGCCAGAGTAAAGATGACTTTCCATAGTTTCTGCTCCATATTGATTGGCTTAGATAACTCCTTCCAGAAATCTGCATTCTAAAAGATGGCTCTACCTGCCTTCCCTCTGAGGTTCAACAGGGGAGGCTGGGTGGGAAGAGATCAAACAATGAACTTGTATGCCTATATGCATAATCCATGGACACAGACCATAACAAAGAAACAAAATTTCCGGAGGATGAGGCCCAGAAATCAGGATTTAAAAAAGATTCCCAGGTGATTCTAATGCGCAGCCAAGGTTGAGAATCACTGCTCTAGAGACAATCTTGTACACGTGCTTCTGCAGACATGGAATCAGAATTCTCCTAGCAGCCCTGTTCGTAATAGTAAAATACTGGAAACCACCCAAATGCCTATCAACGGTGGAATAGAACGCAGCTGAATGCATCAAATTAGATGAACCTCAAAAGCATAAAGTCGACTGAGGAAAGCAACCTCTCCAAAAACACACAGTAATTTCATTTATATAAATTAAAAATGCAGACAAAACTAACTATACATATATATGCTAAAGATTTCAAAATGAAGATTAATAATACATAATTTAGGATTAGTGGTTACTACTCCTGAGTGAATGAAGTCAACAGGGAACAAACAGAGGCTTTTAAAGTATTATGCTGACTTGTGAATACATTGTTTTATCATGATGATTGAATTGTACCTCTAAGTTATATACAGCAGTAGCATGTATATTTCACAATTAAAATTTTAAAAAGAAATGCTGTGCTAATAATATGGTATATGCTCAAACACCAGTGACATTGTAGCTCATTAAAAGGGCAGAGAGTTGGGAATTGGGGAAAATCAGGGTCGAATGGTTACTAGGTATACTTACTTCCTAGGTTCGTGACCTGGACATTTTTAAAAAGTAGATAATGATTACATCCTGCAGGGATGCTGGAAAATAAATAAAATCATGAATGCCAAATGCGGGCAGAATGCCTGGCACAGAGATGCTCAAAGTGAGAATCAGCAGGAAGGAAATGAACGCTCCTTTACTGACAGCAGTTTTAACAGAAGACAAGTGTTTTGTTCACTGTGGCAACTACATTGCAAGAGGAATTGTCAAATTGTGAGTGAAAACTGCAGTGGAATAACAGCTCCCAATAAATAACATTGTAAGAAAGCAGCGCTTCCTCCTACTCAGGCATGCATCTACACGGGCAGGGGTGGGGGCTGGATAGAAGTTGCTCTCTTCTCACTGAGACTCGTTCACCCTGAGATGATCTGTCATTGTATGCAGAACACGGTGGCAGATTTATCCCTACGATTCAGGTTGCTCAGTAATGGTTCAGGTAAAAGCATTTCATAGCGTGCCATAAAGTGGGAACTCATAAATGACAGAGTCTATTATTGGGTGACAAGCTCCAGCTTGGTGACTTTGTTTGTGACTTTGTATAGGCTCTGCAGAAATAATTCCATTGTCATGAGCTTCAGGAAGATAAAAAAAAAAGAAATAACACTGGTCAGCACTTTTAAACACCCGATACTATTAAAACACACACACACACACACACACACACACACACGCACACACACACACACTCATGGACTGAAGGCTAAAAGATTAAAAGAACTAGCATGATACGCAACAAATACATACACTTTGGTGCAACCCCTAAGTTGGTGAGAGCAGGATGTGTTTATAGTTACCTTGAAATTACAAATTAACTGTTGTTTCCATATTCTGAATAAAGCCTTTGAATTTTCACTCTGCTTTCATTTTGTATTATAATCTGAATGATGATTAATGCTGTGCTTCTCTAAAATTAAGTGATTGGCCAAAAGAAAAATATGTGTCAATAGCAAATACCTATGACTACTATTCTTGGTAGGAATTGCTTTTGTGGGGGGCAGATGGGAGGGTATAAGGCAGTACTTTGGATCATATAATAGTGCCTCATACAATAAACTTTCAGTGGTCAATCATAATGGGACATGGCTACTTCATATGTTACTATATATTTTTAAATCCTCACCCAAGTGCATGCTTAGAGAGAGGAAGGGGGAGAGAGAGAGAGAGAGAGAGAGAGAGAGAGAGATTTATTGGATGCCCTCCATATGCTTTCTGACCAGGGATCAAACCAGCAACCTTTTTTTTTTTTTTTTTTTGGTGCATGGGAAAATACTTAACCAACTGAGCCACTCCAGCTGGGCACTATATTTTGAATTACTATTTTTTTTCTTTTTTAGTGTTGGAGAAATAATGATGATGTTCCTAATCATTTGTTGGTATTACAGGAAATACTATAATCTTTAGAACCAATCTACACATACTTTAACTCAGTTTCTGTGAATATTTCTGTTTCTATTTCATAGGATTTCTCTTTAATGTAAATCTCAGATGATATATATGACATCCTTCATTTTGTGTTTTCTTATATGCAAAGACCTGAACCATCATTTGAAGTAATAATCCTATATAATAAAACCCTAATATGCAAATAGAGCTAACAGCGGAATGATCGATCTCTATGATGTGCACTGACAACCAGGGGCAGGCGCTCAAAGCAGGAGCTGCCCCCTGGTGGTCAGTGCGCTCCCACTGCCCAGCCAGAAGCCAGGCTCACAGCTGGCGAGAGCAGTGGCAGTGGCGGGAGCCTCTCCTGCCTCTGCTACAGGCGGGTGGTAAGGAGTGAGGGGTCCTGGACTATGAGAGGATGCAGGCCAGGCTGAGGGACCCATTCCTCCCCCCAGTGCATGAAATTTCGTGCACTAGGCCTCTAGTACTTCATACTTTCCCCTTAAAGACATAATTATTTTACTTTTTCTGTCAGCTATTAATCAATTTAGGTAAAATCAGGAGTAAAAAACATGAGTTCAAATACCTATACATTTTTAGTGTTGCCTTGATAACCTAGAAATAATGCTCAGCTTATAACAGGGCTTATGTATACATTTTTATATGCATTGAATCATTTTTAAAAGATGAGACAGAAATAAACACAATGCACAGAAATAAATTAATTGTGGGGAAGTTTAAAGGAATTGGATAAAGAAGGATTTCCTACATTTAAATTGGATATAACTTTACATTATTGCTATTTCAATTCTGTCACATTCAGGCATAAACCAATATTTAACATTAGCAGAATTTGAGTTAGGTATCTCATTCATTGAGAAAAACATTTTTTTAAAAAAAAAGCTATACATACAACCTATTAAAATTGAGATCTTATATAATAAAATAGAGATCTTATATAATCCTATATCCATTGAAAAAATGAATATCTGATTAAATAAACTCCTATAAGAAGATCAATTTTTTTCAGTGGTGAATTCTTTGAAACTTTTAGGGAAAAAATACACAAATCATATACATATTCTGCCAAGATCAGAAAAAAAGAGAAGAAATAGTTGCTAACCTCAGGTCAATCTCTGTTATAAATGGGTATGCCTAAATCCTAAATATAATATTTTGAACAATATATATGAATGATAATTCATCATGAACACATTGGATTTAGTCAATGAATGAAGGAGTCCTTTGAAATTTAAAACTTTACTAATATAATTTCACTGTGATGACTGCATCAGTAGAAAACATGTGATCATAAAATTAAACACCAGTGAAATATTAGATAAATTTATTTAGCAATTTTAATAAAAATTAACTAGTAACAGAAGAGAATTGATCAGATATTTACAAATCTAAGGAAAAAATCCTACTAATGTAAAAAAATGTTTCTCTTTAAACAAAGGAAGGAGACAAGAAAGCCTGTTACTATTTTCTCTAGTACACTTGTGTTTAAAACACATGGGCAATAGAATAAGATAAAAATTAGAAGTAAGCAATAAAAATAGTATTATGCAGATATATAAGATTAATGAAAATTAAGATAAGCTACTGATATACAATTAGACTTCTAAAGTAGACTGATCAATGTTCCTGAACATAAAGCTGTTGGGTAAAAATCAATTGAATATCTATACACTGTATATTACTAGAAACAAATAATAAGGAAAGATGATATCATTGACAGTGAAATAAAAATGCATGAAAGATATTCATATTAATGTACAAGTACTCATCCCTAAAGACTATAAAGCTTATTGATGTATATTTAAAAATATCTAAATAAATGGAGAGCAAAATCATATTCCTGCAATTAGTGATTCAATACTGTTAGGTGTAAATTTGCTCAGATTATTCTAAACATTCAGTTCAGTTACAAACAAAATGACAACTGGGTTCTTTTTGTGGATGTTGTAAAATATATATTAAAATATAACGGATAAATAATATAAAGGCAGTAATTTAAAAGAATTAAAATGTTGGATTATTCTAATAACTTATCACATTTATTGGAAAATAAATCAAGAAGATATGTTTTAGACTGTGGATAAGCACAGAAATCAATGATAGAGAGTAGGGTGTCCATATAAAGACTCATACATATATGGAAATTTGATAAGTAACACTAGGGAAAGGGTGGCCTGTTCAATAAGTAGTATTATCTATTGTTGATACACATGACCCAACAATTTCATTCAATTGTATGTGAATGTTACACTTTAAGTTAATTTCACAATATAATTAAAAGTTTTCATTTCCCACACAAAGTAGAAGTGCTTCGAAAGTGATTAATATATAATTATAGCATAGTATAGTTTAAACGGTTAGAATGAAAAGAAATGTAAAGTTTTTCTTAGTTTTACTTTCATTATTTTTTGTCACATTGTCTATTTTAGACTGTTTCTAGTCTATCTGATCTTGCTTTTATTCAGGACAAAATGAGCTTTAGATAATACCATGGAGATACCACATATTTTTCTTCTTAAATATATAAGAAAGAATATTTACTTAAAATTCCACTTAAAAATAGATAGGATTTGTAACTGAGGCTAAGATTTTTGCTTTAACTTTGTTTTTATTTAAAGACCTGCTATAATTCTTTGAGAGAACTATAAAAGTCTGCTTAGAAACATTATAATGCAAAATGGACATAGAAGGACAATGAGATATTTTATTTACCACAGCACAGCCATTGCTGTGAAGAATGGATAATATATCACAATGATAATATATGGAGAAATAACACACGTAACTACTAGAGACAATAAATCTGATTTTACCACAAGACTTGTCTTAGCATTTCTCTTATAATACATAAAATAATTTTAGGCTACATGAAATTGGCTTGAAAATCCCTTGTTTATGGCAATATACATCTGTTATGATAAAAAAATATAGCCCACTTCCAAAAACCGTCAACAAGGCAATAAATCCTTAGGTAAATACTTTAGATCATTATTCATTATCAAGGGTCTTTATTGAGTCTCTGTATTAGAAGTCCTGCATTTGATCTCCTGTTCCACTTTATAAAACAACTAGAGGCCTTTTGCACGAAATTCATGCACTCAGGGGGTCCCTCAGCCCGGCCTGAGGCCTCTCGCAGTCCAGGAGCCCTTGGGGATGTCTGACTGACAGCTGACAATTGGATATCCTTAGTGCTGCCACGGAGGCAGGAGAGGCTCCTTCCACCGCTGCTGTACTCACCAGCCATGAGCCCGGCTTCTGGCTGAGCGGCACTCCCCCATGGGAGTGCACTGACCACCAGGGGGCAGCTCCTGCATTGAGTGTCTGCCCCTTGGTGGTCAGTGCGTGTCATAGTGACTGGTCGTTCCGCTGTTTGGTCAATTTGCATAGTAGCCTTTTATTATATAGGATATCGTAGAGATTACCATGTGTCCCCCCAACTCAGATCAATCTGCTGATTTACTTTGTCAGCTTGAACTTTCCCTCATATTACAAAATTTAAAAAAAATGACACAGTCTATTTTTTGGCCTGGTTTCGTTCTTCAGTAATAGAAGTAGAATAGAAGTAAGGAGTAAGGAACTTTTTCTTCACTGTTCTGTTTCACATGTATACACACACAAACACACACACACACACACACACACACACACACACTTTACAATCTCTGTTTCTTCCCATCCCCTCAATCTTCCCAGAATCTTGTGATAAACTGCTCAGGACATTCTGAACCAGGAGATGCACTTTGCACTGCTGGAAGCTTATTGGAGGTATACCTTTCCACAAAATGTGGAGTAAGTACTTGGAACTCATGTTCCTGGGAAGCACAGTAATTCTATATCCAGTGCTTTTCCTTAATATTTTATTTTTCATCTTCTTTATATTCCTGACATCTATACCCAAAATGCCTTTTCATATTATTTTTATTTTCAACTTACTTATTTACCTTAATAACAGCTATTAAGAGGGCCTGGTAATTTTCTGTCATGTGTAAGTTCCCCTTCCCCAGAAGTAAGGCTGTTAAATCACGTTGTTTACCCATATCTTCAGAAAAAAAATAACTTCTACTGTTGTGGTAAACAACCTGCTTCCCTATTTATAATGGTCTGGCCATCTAGCAACTTCAGCGCGAAAGTATAGCTAATTTGCCTACAAACGTCAGGTGGTCATAATAATCTGGCCACTCAGTGTACAGTGTTATTATTTTTCCTTTTATTTTATTTTTTTCCATCACCATTTATCACCCCTATACCCTCTTCAACCTCCACCACACCCTTCTGCCATAAGATCACCACACTGTTGTTCCTGTCCATGAGTTATTTTTCTTGTGTTTTTTTTCTTCTTTGCTCACTCCTTCCACTCTCTGCCCAACACCCCACCCCACCTTCAACAACCACAACAAAAAAAATGCCTGCATATACAACAATGCTATTCTGTTTGGTCTTTGTCAAAGTGTAGCTTCAATACAGGTACACAAACCTACTAACATAAACAAGAAAGAATTCTGTTCTGCTGAATCGTACATCTAGTAGGAAGAAAGAAAAAAATAAATTACTTTAAAAACAAGATTATAATTTCAGGTGGCAAAGTACAACTCAAAACAATAAAGTATATCAGAGGTAATTTTTTTTACAAATAACTACTGATATATACATATATACATATGTCAGAAATTATATATGCATCTTCTTATATATGTACTAGAGGCCTGATGCACAAAATTGGTTCAAGAGTAGATCTTCCTTCCCCCGGCTGCCAGCACTGGCTTCCCTCTGGCACCCAGGACCTGGGCTTCCCTCGCAGCCCTGGCTTCCTCCAGAAGATTGTCCAGTCTAATTAGCATATTATGCTTTTATTATTATAGATAAGTTTGAACTTTTATCCAGCTTACTGAACTTAAAGACTTAGTGGATGTACGCATAATTGGCTCTCCATATGTAATTCATACTCTCAGAGCATTCCCAAACACAGGTGATTTTTATATGCAAATAAAATATTTTAGTGAACTACAATTATTCTTTTGTATATTCATATTCTTAGAACACATTCAGATCCATGATTTAATTAAATTTTACAGAAAAACTTAGAACACATTACTGAGGGAGTAGTATTACTGTGTGATTATGTATAAATCTACCCTATTGCTGACATTTATTTTCTACCATGGACAATGGTAATTTTCTTTTGTTTAAAAAAAAAGTCAAAATTTGACTAATCCTGAAGCTTTAAAAATTGTTGTGTTTTACTTTTTGGGGGGGATACAATGATTGTATATGGTTTAGAATGAATATATGCATATATGTAATATATTTACATATATATTTCCATTTATTAATGACTTTGTTACATATTTCATATTGACATTCAATTTTATTTTACTATGTTTAGAATATTTGTACTGATTTTTAGAGAATTCAGAAGGGAGAGAGATAAAAACATTCATGGGAGAGTGAAGCATTGATACTCTGACTCCTGCATGCCCCCCACTGGGGATCGAGCCCCCAATCCGGCCATGTGCCCTGACCAGGAATGGAACCAGCAACGTTTTGGTGCATGGAAGGACACCTAACCAACTGAGCTACACTGCTAGGGCTTGACATTCTATTTTAATGAACTTCCACAAAGCCTTTTCTTAGATGAGTTATACACTGGATTTCAATCTCATCTGCAATTATTATAATTTATTTTCCCCTTTTAAGACTTCAACACAATTTTAATAGGCATTTATGATTCTGTATTTTTATTTTGAAAGTTATTTGATGTTCTCACCTATAAAAAATTTAAGGCATATTTTTAACAGTGCATTTTAGCTGAATTAAGGCTACTTCTTTCCACATGAGCTCTTGCTTGAATTATGGACTCACCAAAAGGGATGGTCATGTTCAGCAATGGAACTAAAAATAAATAAAAATTACATATACATGGAAAAATGAGCAAAAGATGCATTATGTCATAATCAACATGTATAATTCCATGCCCTTCTCAAACAAGTAGTAAATATAATAGAAATATGAGGGATAAAGAAATTTCAGTCACTCAACCGACTTTATTTTTTAGTGATGCAAAATTTGAATTATTCAAGCTGAAGCTATTAAATATTCATAGAGCTTCATATTATAAAGTTATTGATTAATGTCTTTGGTAAAGAACACTATTATCTCCGATTACATCAAGGTCATCCTGAGGAACAGGACCCAGGCATAAAGTGTTATATATGGAAATATGAGAAGCTAATACATCATTCATATTTAACAGATAACATAAAGGTTAACCCCTTGGAGAATTTGAAGATAATACTCGTCTTCTTCTGACAATTCTTTATACTGGCAATTTGGAAAATGCCAGTGTTTTATTACTACCTATTCTTGTACTATGACATGAATTAGTGCATACCTGCCTCACTATTCCTTTGGGCAAAAAATGAATTTGAATTATGTACAGGAGAGAGATTTTACAAAATTAAATGAGCCAAACTACTTTCCCTCTGTATACTCATTAGAACGACTCTGAGAGTAGTCACCTCTTTTGCTTTTAGAGAAAATTGGTACTTTGTTCTAATATTATACCTGATATCTGTTAAACTTTCTATGCCCACTGAAAGAATAAAGATATTTGGGATCAATTCACATACATACTAAGGATAAGTGAAATATTTCAACTCTAACTTGATCTAGTTATGCACTCTCAATATAAATAAAAACAGAAAACTTAGTTCCAATATGTTTAAATAGCTTGTCCTAGGGTTCCACAGCACACGTATTGGCTATCTTGTGAAAAATGTTAAACTCCCAGTGCTGTGATTTTCTCATATATACAAATGAAAACAATGTCGACTTTGTAAGATTCGGTAGGAGAATGAGATAATGCACGTAAAAGCATTTGGCACATTTATCACTTTATAAATATTATCTACCCTTTTTGTGGAAGGAATAAATCTAAGATTTTGGCTTCCAGAATTTTTCTTTTTCTCTTTACACTTCACTGCCCTATCACATTTAGTCTGTAAATCTGTCAATGAGATTAGACTGTGGATAATTATGTCCCAAACCCATATGTTGTTTTCTCTGTTCAAATACAATTTTAAAATAATGGAAAGGAGCTCTGGTCACAGAATGGGGACTATTTTTTTCCGTTAGCCACATTTTCACTATTAGTCACTACATTCCTATATTACTTAAAATTATGACTTAATTTTAAATATTGAACCAATGAGATTGCTCAGTCTCCAAAACATGCAATCCTTTTCTCTCACACGCCAGAACTTCCCATTGATTAAAGTTCTAAAATCCAGTGAGATTCTGACTACTCTTTGCTACTTCTTCTACTAGCATTGTTATACGAGCTGCCATTGTTTATCATCCTGGTTATTACAATGGCCTGCAAGCAGGTCGGCATCAAGCACTTTTTGACATATTTTCAAAACAGCACTTTAAAGCAAATCAGATTATGACTCTCTTTTGCATAAAACTCTCCAAGTTATTCTCATTTCAGTTATTGTAAAAGCCAGAGCATGTACAAATGCTTATAGATTCTACATCATATGGACTTTCCAATGTTTCCTTGAACTTTTCTCCTCCTCTAGTGTCATTTCCTCATTCAGTTTCAGTGACAACAGACTCTTTATTATTACTGAACATGGCAATATATTTGGTTTGTCCTGTATCTTCTTTATGTCTTTTGTTGGACGCCGTCTTCTCCTTAAGACTCTCCATGGACATGTTATTAAAATGTTCAAACCCTGTGTGCTCTGTGGACACTTGCCATGCTTGACTTTGTACCATAGCACTTACTATCACCTGACACACTGTGCATTTCACATCTTTGTTTATTACATTTTGTCTTCACTAGGATATAGTTTCATGAGGATAGATATTTCTATTGATTTTTGGGTGCTGTATCCCAAAAGCCTAGAACTCTGCCTGGCAATAAATAGTTATTTCAGAAATGAATTAGGAGTTGGTGAATTCACAGATTAGAGATATAAAATAGAATAGTGATTTTTAAAAAAATGAGCTTTGGCCCAGCTGATGTGGCTCAGCAATTGAGCATTGACCCAGGAACCAATGTGGTTCCAACCCTGGCTGCTGTCCAAATCCCCAGTAGAGGGTGTGCAGGAGGCAGCTGATCAATTATTCACTCTCATCATTGATGTTTCTGTCCCTCTCTATCTCCATTCCTCTCTCTCTGTAAACCAATAAAAAACATATATTTTTTTAAAGCATGAACTTTAGAATCTAAAATACCTTCTTAATGTATCTGTTACCATTGTTCATCCTTCTTCCAATTTTCTCCACAGAGAAGCTAAAGTCATCTTTTACCAAGAATTCAGATCATGGGAATCTCTTATATCTTTCCCATCACACGTTTATGAGTGTCATTGATCTAATCCAGCCCCAAGCTCCCCTCCTGCCTGTCTCTTACCACCCTCTGCTTGATGAGCCTGCCCTGCAGCACCATCCCGTTTCCTTTGTCCTGGATGCTCCATTTGTGGGAAACACACCCCAACAGAAATTTTCTTCTTTCCAATGCCTTCCTGAGCAACCAAGCCACATTTCCGTTCAACCTGATTTGACTGTTGCAACAGTTATCACTATGTGGATATTATATAATACACATTTAACTTTTTTTTCAAATTATTTATTGTCTAACTACAAACCTTCAGGTAGAATAAAGGTCAAGAGAATAGTTCTAGAACTAGCACAAGTCAGGAATATAGTTATTTTTATTCAATCCTCAAACAATCATTAATTGGATATTGATTTAATAATTGGTTGAGAATTGAATTAATGATTGTTTGAGGATTGAATAAAAATAACAATAAACTTGGGGTCGGTTCTTGTTATGACAATGAATGGTGCTGGGAATGCCAAGAAAACTGCTCTGCTAGTCAGCCACATTGTCCTGTTTGGGATGGAGGTGGGAGAGGGGGGGTCACAGTTACTTAAACTTGTATAATAGGGAGAATGATTGGTAAAGGTTGCCATCTTGCTTAAAAGGAATGAAAAAGAAGCACGTTGTAAAATGGTCTGCAGTTTTATCATTGTAATAAAACTTCCACTTGCTTCTGACTAATGCTCAGAAATTAGACAGAAGCCAAGTGGAAGTTTTGTCACTCCGACAGCACCAGTGACTCCTATAGCTTGTCCTTTGCTCCTAAAAGTGACCAAGCACCACTGTTGTCTAGGTGGAATGACTTCCCAGCACCTCAGGGCAGGGTCCAGGGGTTGGGAAAGTAGGGTCAGAGTGTGGAAGGCAGCCTGTTGAACCCTGCAGAGAAGGGGAAGGCTGGCAAAAGCCAGAGAATGAGGTTGTTCTTAGAATATGAGTCTATTCACTAAGCATGTCTACAATAGCTTTTTTCTCTACTACAGATGAAAATTAATGTGGCTTGTTTTATGCATAAAGGTAAGAAACTACGTGGAAAATGCCAAGGAAACTCTTTACATTATTTAATAAAAAGTAAATCCATTTTGAAATCATCAGGCACATACACATATTCTCATAGCTCCAGACACATGGTATAAAAGTGAGGAGTATTATAGTTATGGAGAAATAATAATAACAAATAATAGGCCCTTGGTGCACTAAAAATATTTGGATTACATATTGTAAAATTTTTAGCTATTGTATGTAATACAGTACATTCTAAGGAGTATATATATATTTAGGTGAGTGCTTCAGATTTTTGCTATTAAAAAATGGACATTTATCAACTTAATCCCTTTTCAATTGCTTTTTTTCTTTTCATTTCACATGTATGAGTTTTTGATATCTTTCTGTATAAAGCAAAAAAAAGATTTCCTTATTTAATTTACATTTGAATCACATCTGAGTTAGACCTATTGGTGGATATTTATCCATAAGTCTCAATAAATCTTTTTAAAGACACAGAACTATATTGAGCTAACAAAGCAAGTATTACCATATTTCAACTGTATGGCAAACATTAACATACTGATGATGATGTGAAATATCATCCATATGGATCAATACAACCATTTTATTTAACAATCATACAACTAAAGGTGCACATGCTCTCTAAGTGAGCAATTTCACTCCTAGCTACACATCAAATTTAATATATGTATAATAACACCCATAACAGAACTTCTAATAATGGCAAAAAATATTTTGGGGGAAAACACATAGCTCTTAGCCATAAAGGTTATAACTGAAGACTGCTCACACAAAAGAAATATGTTGGCAAAAAAAAAAAAAAGTTTAAAATATAAAGTCCAATACCAAACAAAACTAATCCACATTTCTGTATGAAAATATAGATAATGAAATTATAAATAATTGCAAGGAAAAGATTATTTCTGGCATCCTCAAAAAGTTAATATAATTTTAAATAGCTATTGGGAAATCCAGTTGAGGTCCAATGCCCAGTTGATATGTCACTTCATGAATACTACTCCATCTCTCATCTCATAAATGTTGCTCTTTCCTCAGCAAACTCTTAATATTAGGTGCAATTTTCCCAATAATCCTCTTTACAATTATTTTTTGAGTTGTGGCATATTTACTAATTGTGGTAAGAGAGAGAAAACAGAATCACCTTGGATCATGAGGGGAATTTAATGAACAGCGACTGTGCAGAGTTGTGGGCAGGGGTAAGGCGACAGAAAATGATGATAAGGTAGCAACGGAGAGCAAGAGAAAGAAGGCTTCCTCCACCAGGGAGGGCAAGGAGAGGAAATTATGTGAGGAAAGCCAAGTTTAAGAGGAAAGGCGTTGAGGAGGATAGCAGTAATGAAAGGGTATTTGTGGAAGAATACAGAAAATAACAAATTGGTGGCCTTGCAGTGGGAAAGATATGAATGAAATGCCTCCATCTGTCTCTCTCATTTCCTCCCACTAGCTAAACCCAACCGGAAAAGGGATGGCAAGAGAAACCGGGTGATGGAGTTCAGTCAGACAGAATGGAAAAGATGGGCACACATCTCCTGGGTCTTCACCTTTTATACAATACACCAGTTGTAAGACTTAATGTAATGTTCCACAAATAGTAAGTGTTAAATGATATTCTCAGAAGGAAGGCAGAGGTGGGTGGATGGGTGGGAAGAGATCAACCAAAGAACTTGTATGCATATATGTATAACCCATGGACACAGACAACAATGTAGTGAAGGCCTGGGGCAGGGGCAGGGGTAGGCTAAAATGGGTCAATGGGGGGTCGGGGAAGGGAACCAATATAATAATTTCAACAATAAAGATTTTTTTTTAAAAGTATGTATTTCATACACTGCAGCTATTTTATTTTCTAAGCCATATTTCATTTTGATTAAATTGCTTGTATTAAATAAGAGCTAGAAAATTGGTGACATATTATGAAACTTGAAAGTATCTTCTAAAATGCATTTAACCTGCAGAAAATTAATGAGGCGATAACAATAAGATGGAATAATTTGGTATTTACATAGTTGTTGAGTGGGCAGGTTCCAGACATTAAATTAGGGAAATTAGAACACTAAGTGCTATTTTTAAAACAACTTATTTTAACATGAGAAATATAAATAGTATAAATACAAAGACACTCAGATTGAATGTTTTCTTAGAAACAACAGGAGGATATGGTTGTTAATACTGTGTTCCCTGAAAATTAAATTGTTCATTGTATGCTTATCTGTTTATTGTGTTGATTTGGCAGGATACCCAGGTGTCTCACTCACATTGTTGAGGTGACTGTGTGTTGGCTGGGAGCTCAGCTAGAGTGGCAAAATGCATTTTCCTCATGTGGCCTCCTCATGCATCCTGGCCTTCTCATTGCATGATAGCTGGGGTCTAAGGATGTATATTTAAAAAGACAGAAAGTGAAAGCAGCCAGGCCCCAGACGATGGAACTGCATCATTTCCTCCATAGTCTATGAATGAACCCAGTCACAGAGTTCGCCTGTATTTAAGGGAGAGGTCTTTTCAGTGGAAGAGTGTCGAAGAATTCATGATAAACCTTAATTCATTGTACAACCCTGAAATAAAAGTGATTGCAAAACATTTTTTAAAGATTCACTGTGAGCTATTACTATTTACTGTGGGGGAGAAGAACATGAGATGGCATTGACCAGCGTGAGTGGAGAGACAATCTGGAGCAGGGAGCCATGCCCTGGCAGCAGAATGGATGGCCCTGGACAGTGAGAAGATAACCAGAGAATTAGGTTACTTGTGAGAATGGAAGGAAGAGGCGCATTTGAGATGGCTTATTTGTTTTGATTTGTCTCCACCTCCACTACTTGACCCTACATTGCTTATCAGTTTGGAGCAAATACAATGTTGTATAAAAGGTTAATAATGCTTGTGGGCTCTATATGGTTTCCAATGGCCTGGGTTAATTACCAGACCCCCCTCCCCCCACCCTGTTTTGTACTAATTTGTACAAAAGACTGTATTTCTTTAAGCCTGTTTTCCCATCTGTAAGTAATATCTAACTATATTTGCATGTTATGGTAGGTTCTATTCTCTCTCATTCCACATTTAAAATCAAACTCTCTGTAAATAAATTAACAGGCAAATGTATTTCCCCCAAAGTTTCACACTGGAAATCTCAGCCTAGATCCAGGTCTTCTGATTGCTGGATTAGTTTACTGCCTATACCTTGCCTTTATTTAGATTTCTACAAAATTCATATTGTCACCTTTATTTTGCTAATCCACCTGAAAAATCTGTGGCTTAAAAACATTGTCTCCAGCCAACTTCTGTTAGCGATCAGTATCAAGGCTCTCAAGTTAAAGCCTTGTATTTGACCTTCCCTGACATTTTCTGGCCAGCACCACTGAAATTCATTGGTAGATGCTATGCCTTTGGCAGCAATTCTGTATGTATTTGGGTATCAAGCAGCACATTTACTACTTCAAAGCAGTGTAACCTGGTTACTGTGGAGCTAGAAGAGGACAGTTAGCATTAAGCCACTAGAAGATTTCAAACTGACAGCCCTATAATTCTAGGTGTGGCATATAGTCATCTTGGACAAATGGCTAAATAACATTGCATAATGGTTCTCATTTTCAACAGAAAGATTAAGTAAAGATTATTACTGTATATATTTTTAAGAAATATTTTATATTTAGCTTTCCTCAATTATAAAGTTAAGGATTGTTTAATATTTTTTTTCATATTTGGTGGATGAATAGTATTTTATTAGGAACCAAGTAATCTTGAAATAAATGAGTAAATATATTAAGCATACAAAAATGGGCCTATTAATCACATGCATTTTGTAATGCAACTAACTAAAAGTAAGATTATTTATATTTTTTCAGCCATTTCTTAATCCATATAATCTTGTGTAACCACGAAAAGTTGTTGCATTGGTTATAGCTGTAGGGGGTTCAGAAACAGTCACCCCAAGATGTGCCTCTGTGGTATGCAGATTATTTGTTTTGTTTTGTTTTGTTTTGTTAATCCTCACCTGAGAATGTTTTTATATTGATTTTTTAGAGAGAGTGATAGAGAGGGGGAGAGACAGAGAGAGAGAAACAGGATGTGAGAGAGACACCTCCATTGGTTGCCTCCTGCACACACCTAGGCCAGGGCCAGGGATCAAGCCTGCAACCACAGTATGTACCCTTGGCCACAATCAAACCCGGTACCCTTCAGTTGTGGGCAGACGCTGTATCCACTGAACCAAACCAGCTAAGGGTGTATGCAGATTATATGGAGCTAAAGGCAACCTAGACCCTGTGGGTTCAAGAGAAACTTCTGCCCAACCTCAACTCCCACCCCCGCCTCTTTAACTGCCTAGAAGAATTTGAATTAAGGGATTTTCCCATCATAAGAGATTTTCAGAGGTAACCTTTTTGACCTATTCTGCAGTGGTTTATCTCCCATTTGAATCCCCAAGGTGATTCTTAGCTCAGAATGTCAAATCTACCTCATTTTCTATTTCTGTCTTTGAGCTGATTATGAACAGAGTCTCCAAAAACATATATGCTCACTCTAACAGCTGATGGCTCAATTGATGTTTCTTTCTCTTTCACCCAGACTAAGCTTTAACTAAGGAAATTTATCCTAAAGGGCTACTGGAAGTTTGAAAATGCAATTGAAGTTCAAACACTGCCTTTATAATTATTCACAGGGTTTCCCAAAAAGTGTATACACATTTTAACGGCTGATAACTCACTTAGTTTTCACTCATTTTCAGGTTTAACTGATTTGAAATAATGGGTGAAGCCAGACTAAGCTTTGAACAAAGAGAATGTATCCACCAGACTTATTTATGGGGCCACATAAAAGATAAAGTTTAAGGTACAAAACTGGAAACGGTTGACGAATAGAGGGCACACAAATACCAACGGAATGACTGTTCATGTTTGCGATACTATTGCTTCACGTTATCAGCAGTTCCTAGACAAGAAAGGTGAACAGTTTGAAAACAGGCCCTGACCAAAATATATGATTCATTCTGGAGGTTCTTTTACATTTTCAAAAAGGACTGTAAGTTAATAAACACTGACTTTATAATCATTCAAAGTGTGTATACATTTTTTGGATCACCCTATATGTGGGTATCTGACTTTCTCATGGTTTCCATGTGTATATATGTATTAAATTTGGTTCTTTTCTCTCATTAATCTGTCTCATGTGGATTTTATTGTCAGATCAGCTGAATGAACCTTGCAGGTGGAGGAAAGGTTTTTCCTTCCCCATGTGCTATGTTTTCCAGCAGTCTCCCACTCAAGAGCTGTCAGGTTAGGAAATCTACTGACCTCCTGCTAGGATGCATGTATAAAAGCATGTCATCAAAGCGTGTATAAAGCTTGTCATGGAATCATCTGCCAGTACTCTCTTCTGGCCTGTCAAATGCACAAGTAGGTGATGACCTCCCATGCAATCTCACTTACCTTTCTTTAAATTGTCCTTTATTCACAATTACTTTTTGTTCAGTATTCCACTGGGTTTGTCTTTGATCCTTCTCCAGATGGAAGCACGAATGTACACTCTCAATTTCAAGGTATATAGTAAAACTATCAGGAAATCAGCTATATATTGTTCAATACTTTCCTGTTTCATTTATGCAGACACTAAATTCTCATCTCATATGCTTGTGAAATCCTATATAATGAAGAGCTAATATGCAAATGGTCATCACGCCCTCATGCTGTAACGGCTCAGACACTCAACACTGGGGAGAGAGGAATGGGGAGCAGCCAGGCACAAATGAGCTTGCGAGAGAGGAATGGGAACCAGCCAGGCTGCGGCCCGGGAGACGGACAAGCTGCCCACCCCGCGGAACCAGGTGCCAGCGGCTGCTCCTGCGTCTGTGCCTGTGACCTGGGAGAGGGACAAGCCGCCTGCCCCGTGGTCCCAGGCACCAGCGGCTGCGCCTGCACCTGCCGCCCAGGCGAGGGATAAGCCACCCACCCCTCGGTCCCAGGTGCCTGCTCCTGTGGCCCAAGCAATGTCGCCTGCCCTCGGTCCCCTGTGGCTGCGGCCAGGCCAGGCGAAGCCGGCCCAGGGCCTGGGTGCCTGTGGTCTGCCAGAGGGAGGGAGGCCCAGGTCCCGGGTGCCTGCGACTGGCTGGAGGTGGGAATCCTAGGTCCCTGGTGTGGGATGAGGCAGAGGCGGTTAGGGGCAATCAGGCCACCAGGGGAGCAGTTAGGGGTGATCAGGCAGGCAGGCAGCTGAGCCTGTGAAGACTGAGGCTTGCAGGGAGGAGCAGCGAGTCTCTTAATTAGAAAGAAGACAAAATAAAGAATGCAGAAACATCACCAAGAGGATGCTAACAAGGGAAAGTGTAGCATAAGAGGAGGCTGCAGAAATAGGTAGAAACAGTTTTGCAGAGCTGCATTGATTATGGAAAAGAGTTTATGGTATCCTATATAATAAAGAGATGATATGCAAATTGACCCTCGCTCCATCACACCATCACAAGATGGCTGCACCACAGTGGAGGCAGGGTTCCCATAACACAAGATGGCTGCGCCCACAGCAGAGGCAGGGTTCATGTAATGAGCCGTAATGAGTGATCAGCAGGGACCTGAGGCTGTGTGGCACCAGGCCTGGGCTGGGGACCTGAGGCTGCACCCCCTGCCCGGCGGGGCTTGATGGGAGAACTCAGGCTGCACCCCCCCACCCCAACACTGGGCTGGGGGACCTCAGGCCACACCCCTCTGCCTGGCAAGGGCTTGACAGGGGACCTCACGCTACACCTGCCACCCAAATGCTGAGCTGGGGGACCTCAGGCCATGCCCCCCACACTGGTGCTGGGCCAGGGGACCTCAGGCTGCGTCCCCCACCCAGGCACCGGGCCAAGGGACCTGAAGGTGCACCGGGGACCTGAGGCTGCACCCCTCACCTGGCAGGGCTTGACAGGGGCCCTGAGGCTGTGCCCCCTGCCAGATGCCCACCCAGGAAACCTGAGGCTGCTTCCCCTGCCTGACAGGGCTTGACAGGGGTGGGGCCAGCCAGGTCTGCATCTCATCCAATGGGGGTGGGGATGGCCAGGTCTGGATCTCATGCAATTTTGAAGTGCACATGTGTGGGCAGGGACTTGACTCTGGGTCCCGTGGCGTGTCCCAGACTCTGACAGGAGGAAGATTTTTATATACATTTTACTAATTTCCTTACATCTCTGACACTTCTATTATAGAGAAAGGGCAAATAGCGATATTAAAATATTTCCTATATTTAATCCCCTTTTAATGTGCACGAATTTTGTGCACTGGGTCACTAGTAGTATGTATAAACTAGAATGGAAAACACTTGAAGGTTTTATCAAGGGAGACCGATGGTCTTATATAATATGCAGTTGATGTGATAGTACCTATAGAAATCCCAAAAGACTCCATCAAAAAACTGTTAGAACTAATAAACAAATTCAGTAAATTTGCGTAATGCAAAATCAATATGCAAAAATCTGTTGTGTTTCTATACACTAATAACAAATTAGCAAAAGAGAAATTAAGAAAACAATACCACTTACAGTGTATCAAAATAATAAAATACCTAGAAATAGATTCTACCAAGGAAGTAAAGACCTGATCATTGAAAACTGTGACATTAAAAAAAGAAATTAAAGAACAGACAAAAAAAGAAAAGAAAATATATTCTATTCCATGCTCATGGATTAAAATAATCAATAGAGTTAAAAGGTCTATACTATGCAAAACAATCTATAGACAAAATGTCAATGGCATTTTCACATAGAACAAATAATCTTAAACCATGTCAAAAACAGCAAAAGACCCAGTATAGCCAAAACAATTTTGAGAAAGAACAAAGCTGAATGCATTGTACTCTCTGATTTCAAACTAGATTTTAAAGCTATAATAATTAAAACAGTATAGTATACGCATAAAAAACAGGCATAGACACATAGATTAATGTAAAAGAATAGAGAGCCCAGAAATAAACCCACCCTTATATGGTAAACTAGTTATGACAGAGGAGCCAAAATGGGGAAAGAACAGTCTCTTCAATAAATGGTGTTGGAAAAACTAGACAACCATATGCGAAAGACTGAAATGCTACAATAGCTTACACAATACACAAAATTAATTCAAAACAGATTGAGGTCTTGAACATATGAACTAAAACCATGAAACTCTTACAAGAAAACAGACATTAAGGTCCTTGACATAGGTCTTAGCCATGATATTTTGAAACTGACACCAAAAGCAAAAAAAAATAAATAAATTTTAAAAAAGTAAAAAAATAAAATAAACAAGTGGGACTTCATCAAACTAAATAACTTCTGCACAGAAAATGAAACAAAAATAAAATGAAAAGTCAACCTAACTAAATGGGAGAAAATATTTGCAAATCATATATCTGATAAGTGACAAATACCCAGAATACATGAAGAACTCATACAACTCAACATCAAAAAATGCCAAACAAGCTGATTTAAAAATATGCAGAGGATCTAAATAGACATTTTTCCAAAGAAAATATACTGATGGCCACCGGTACATGAAATTTGTTCAACATCACCAATAATCAGGGAGATGCAAAATAAAAGTACAATGAGATAATATCTCATACCTGTTAGAATGGCTATTTTCAAATAAATAAGAAATAACAAATTTTGACAAGGATGTGTAAAAAAGGAAAACCTTGTACACTGATGGTGGAAATATAAATTGGTGCAGCCACTATGGAAAAACATGAAGGTTCCTGAAAAAATTAAAAATAGAACTACAATATGATCCAGCAATTCCACTTCTGGGTATTTATCTGAAGAAAACAAAAGTATTAACTCTGAAAAGCTATATGCACCCATATGTTAATTGTAGTATTATTTAAAATATAGGTATGGAAACAAAGTATACATATATGGCTGAATTTATATTCAGCCATAAAAAGGAAGCTAAGTGATATAAGTCAAAAAAGACAAATAACATATGATCACTCTTATATGTGGAATCTACATTAATAAAAGACAAAGATGCAAATTGACCGTACCTTCGCTATGCCTTAAGCCACTCCCACCAGCCAATCACAGCGACTATATGCAAATTAACCCAACCAAGATGGCGGCAGGCAGCCACAGAGCTGGAGCGAGCAGAAGGCTTGGTTGCCCCAATGATGGAGGAAGCCAGCTTCCCGCCTGCCGTGGCCAGCTCTGAGATCCACTCAAAGCAACAAAGTTTCAATTATAGAAGGTAAATAAATCCCAGACACCTGCTTTTAGCTGGCCATGGCCACGGAGCCTGCAAACAACCATAGTGCCTCACCCAGGCTGGCCAGGCACCCCAGTGGGGAACCCCACCATGAAGGGGGTGTGACCAGCCTGCAAACACCCATCAGCCCCTCACCCAGGCTGGCCGGGCACCCCAGTGGGACCCCCACCCTGATCCGGGACACTCTTCAGGGCAAACCAGCCGGCCCCCACCCATGCACCAGGCCTCTATCCCATATAATAAAAGGGTAATATTCAAATTGACCCTAACAGCAGAACGACTGGGAATGACTGGTCACTATGACACACACTGACCACCAGGGGGCATATGCTCAATGCAGGAGCTGTCCCCTGGTGGTCAGTGCACTCCCACAGGGGGAGCTCTGCTCAGCCACAAGCCAGGCTGATGGCTGCCAGCACAGTGGTGGTGGTGGAGCCTCTCCCGCCTCCTCAGCAGCACTAAGGATGTCCGACTGCAACTTAGGTCTGCTCCCTGCTGGTAAGTCGACATCCCCCGAGGGCTGCCGGGCTGCCAGAGGGATGTCTGACTGCCAGTTTGGGCCTGATCCCCCAGGGAG